CGTCGAAACGCGACAACTCCCAGCCGAAGTAACACCAGCAAACAGCCCGGTTTCGGGTTAAAAGGGAAGATGCATCTGTGTCATGCTGTGCTTTGACTTTCCAGCAATTGAGCTGAGCTTGTGCCCGATGACTCACCTCCACCAAAACCCAAACCCAACGGTCGGAGATACCCCCAGTTCGAAACGCAAGAAAGTTGAACCCCCCCACACACACACAGACACACACACACACAGAGACACAGAGACACACAGACACAGACACACACACACAGACACAGACACAGACACAGACACACAGACAGACACACACAGACCCACACAGAGACACACACAGAGACACACACAGAGACACACACAGAAACACACAGAGACACACACAGAGACACACACAGAGACACACACAGAAACACACACAGAGACACACACAGAGACACACACAGACACACAGAGACACACACACACACAAACACAGACAGACACACACACACACACACACACGCAGACAGACACACACACACACACACACAGACACACAGACAGACACACAGACAGACACACAGACAGACACACCGACAGACACACAGACAGACACACAGACAGACACACAGACAGACACACAGACAGACACACAGACAGAGACACACAGACAGAGACACACAGACAGAGACACACAGACAGAGACACACAGACAGAGACACACAGACAGAGACACACAGACAGAGACACACAGACAGAGACACACAGAGACACACAGAGAGACACACAGAGAGACACACAGAGAGACACACAGAGAGACACACAGAGAGACACACAGAGAGACACACAGAGAGACACACAGAGAGACACACAGAGAGACACACAGAGAGACACACAGAGACACACAGAGACACACAGAGACACACAGAGACACACACAGACACACACAGACACACACAGACACACACAGACACACAGACACACACACACACAACCACCCCCTCATGCGCACGCACATGCCTCGGGCTGCGTTCTGTCCCGTGGTTCCGGCAGCCGTGCCGCATCCTGCGGATTTCTGGTCTGCACTCGGGTCGGTGGCGAAATCTCACGATCACAAGGCTCTGCAAGCGAATGCTGTTGCAAAGGCACACCACTTTCAGCATGCAGCAAAAAGGCGGTCTGCGGCCATGCTTTGCATTCCGTGCGCTCGGAATTGGAGAGGAGGCAGGAAAGTAGCACTCGAAATCCTTCGCTCAGCAGTCCTCGCTTGGCCAGGGTACTCCAGTACCTGTGTCCGAAAGGCAAGGTTCGAAGAATATATCCTTCAGATTCGCGAAAACCCTGAAATCCAAACCCTGACCATCACTCCTACACACATCTAGACAGGAGTCTCCAGCACATGTGCCGAAAGGGTGCTCGAGCTTTACTTTCGGCCGACGCATGGGCTTCAAGGGCATGGCAGGTCTTGAAGTGTCTGTCTGAGCCACTAAGGTGGTTTGTTCCGCGCAATTGAACGACTTATTATTACATTTGGCTCCATTGGAGTGGCTCGGGCTGAATGGCTTTGTCTCTCTCTGTTTCTCTCTCTCTCTCTCTCTCTCTCTCTCTCTCTCTCTCTCTCTCTCTCTCTCTCTCTCTCTCCATGTGGATACACGCATGCAGACTTGCCTACCAAGCCAGCAAGCTTTCAGCCACGGGCACTTACACACGCAGACGCACACACACACACACAGGTGTGTGTGTATATATATATGTGTGTGTGCACATATATGTATATAGATGCACACAAACATGCACATATCTATATATAGAGTTTTGTGCATGTCTGCGTTTGCTTGGGAGGGTTGAAGTCTTGCCCACTCGGATTTCAGTCTTGTGACTTCATCATTCCAACATATTCCAACACAGAAGCAGCATGGTCAAAATCTCCCAAGGCTGCGAGAGACAGAGGGAGGGAGAGGGAGCGGGAAAGGGAGAAAAGACAAACGGAGCGAGGGAGGAGGTAGCGCAAGACACCACAGCCCAAGTCAACAGCAAACAACTGTCACACAAAAACAAGGGAGAGAAGCAGGAAGCAAATGGCGTGACATGGAATATCATGGAATACCGTAGCGATGTCTGAATCGCATCACAGGCACTCACGCTGCCCGGCATCATAGTCTCAGCCATGGAGCCTCCGCCGCCGCCTCGGATCTAGGTCTGAGGATGCGGCACTGGGTGCTGCCTAGCTTTGGTTTCCCCTGGAAATGCCTCGAAGTGCGAAGGTCGGAGCACTTTGGCCGTTGAGCCTTTTGAGCTCTTGCAGCCGCGGCGGTCGACTTTTTTCGGGCTGGGCTCCTTTGTCGGGACATCATTGCTGATACCAGGGATACATCGGGGCTTCTTGATGCCGCCCAGCCTTCTGGGTGGCTCAATACCCATTTTTTTGTTGCCGCAGCTATTTGCCACACCTGCTTCCGAGGCATCGCTGACCTATTGGACCCTTCCGCAACCCAGCACCGCTTGTTTCATGCCGTTCAAACTGCTTCACAGACTGAGGCATCTGGTTTTTCTATCGATGGCAACCTTGACAAATGCGACCGTCGGGACTCTCCACATGCACAGGAAGGCATTTCTCAAGCAGTCGCGCGTCACAGGTTGCAGACCGTCACATCTAACTTGAAGCATTAGACAAACTGCGTCAGCAGTTGGCCGGAAAAACCAGGCAGATACTGTCACAGTGCGCATGGGATTTTACTTACGCCCCAACTTGCTATGCTTGCGGTTAGAAACCTTGAAGCCTTGATCCTTCTCGCCGCCGCACAGACGACTGGTGGCTGTCACGGCACGCGAGAAGTTTCTGCCTGATATGCTCAAGGAACCTCGTCTTGGGCCGTCCGCTCAGCTGATCTATCTTGCAAAAGTCTGGCAGATCGCCTGTAGCCTTTGGCGCCAATTTTGCAGGACCTGAAGAGTGACGGCGCAAGCATCGATTTCTTGAAAAGTTGTGCTGAGAATAGACGGCTGACTGCAGGTTCGGATGGAGGACTTGAGTCAAGGCCATAGCTGTTCGACATTCTGTTGGCATACGTGCAACTCAAACACGCCACCTTACAAGCAGCCAGCTTGAGATGCCTCGGAACTCAACTCTATGTTTGCAGGATCAAGAGCCTTCTTTCTGACGTGCTATCCAAGTGTGTTGGCCAGGAGAAAACCGCCCCTCGCCCAAATCCTAGAACCCAGCTGCTTTCACGAATGGAAGCAGAACTACATCTTGAAGGTAGAACGGCCGCAGTACCTCCTTTCTGTGTCGCACCGCAGTGTCTGATGCAACCATTGGGACCATGCGTACGCACTATGTACTTTTCGGCAAATGCACACGCATTGAGACGTATCTATACATATCTAGACAAATGTCAACATCTATACCTATACGTACAAGAAGTATGTGCGTATTCAATCATACGTATGTATGTAACCTGTATGTATGTATGTATGTATGTACATGTGTCTGTGTGTACATATTCATATGTATGCATGTCTGTAATTGTGTACGGGCTTACGTCTGAATGTCTGTGTTTGTATGTCTGCAAATGTGATGTAGGTAGACATGCAGGTGTTGAGGTATGTATACATACATGAATGTATGTAACGTATGTATGCACATAGGTACATACACATGCAGGTCTGGATATATGTATGTATGTATGCATGCATGCATGTATGTATACAAGTATGTATGTACATATGCACCCACATACTTGGGTAGGTAGGTAGGTGGGTAGGTAGGTTAGGTAGCGGCTATGCACTTAGCATAAACACATGAACAAGGGCCATGGACGAAACATCAAAAATCAAGATGCTGTGCTAGCCTGCTTGCTTCTTCCATTGAGCATGCTTACCAAAACTGATCCAACCGCTCAGTCCTCAAGCTACCACGAAGTATGCACGAACTTTGGCAACAGATGGATGGATCACGAGGAACAGGCACCGGGATAAGAGCTGAGATACGAGCTACCGAGACGTACATTTTGTGGGTGGGCTGCGAAAGTCAAGCGGTTGAATGCAAAAGGAATTGAACTACGTCGTGAAGTTTGCAGATGCTTCAAGCGTAGGACTGGCGATGGAACCGGAGCCACGCGTTCCCAATGGATTCTGCCCAACACAAGATTTCGGCATGCTGCATGAATCCTCCGCGGACCCTGCATGAGCTGCTGCGATCCGAGGTCTCATGGGCCGTTGACGTTTTGTCAGGAGCCGGGACTTCAAAATAGTCAGACGGAAGGGCCTCCACAGAGAAGGACGTACTGCAGATGCAACTTCGAGCTACCAACGGATTCGATGCTCATTGCTCGGGGGGGATGGTTCACTCGCCGCATGAATGAGGACTGCTTCTGACAACTTCAGGTTGCTTGAGCAGAGCTCAACCCTCGGCCCAAAGCAAGACTCTCTCTCTCTCTCTATGTGTATATATATATATATATGTATATTTATATTTATATGTCCATATGTCACATTTATATGAGCGTGCCGAGAGCCGAGCCTGATCTCGAATGACCCTAACTCTGTAGGACGTTGCGGGATGAAACTCCCAAATGCAGTTGGGTAGTTTTACAGCATTACCTTCGCAGTGAGAGCCGAAGCATAGTTTCAGCAACCCTGCCTTGATCTCTGCCCAACAGCAGATCTTTCTCTGGTGGGCGAAACGACACTCCTTGAGTGCGCCACAAAGCGCAGCTACTCTGAAAGTCGACGCGACTGCATGTCTTTCAGGAGGGCCTTTCTTGAGGGTCGGGGTTGAGGGGAGTGTGGGGGTCGAGATCCTCACCTGGAGACGAAGCTGGTGGCCTTCATTACACTCCTATCGAAGCCAAACCATCATGCGCTCAACTGGAACTTCCAGTGTCTAAAGACAGCCAAGGGCCAAGGAGCTGTAAGTATCACTGAAACCTACTGGCACTGGTGCGAAGCCAGGAACCTTCGAAAGGCGTTACCCAGAGCCAAGGCCCGGAACGACTCACATTCCAGCCGACTTCGGGAAGCGGTCAGAACTTCTCACCTGGCCGGCAGGGTATACGGTATACGTGTTTTGTACTCGCAGCCCTACACCCTGGTTCACGGTTCGGCGATTTCCACCCATGAGGAACGAAGCAAAGCAAACAACCCAGCACAGCCGGCTATCCCTCCTCGTTCGGTCCTGTGGGGTGCAGGTGCTAGGCTTTCAACAAAGTCTGGTCTGCGACAAGTGCTGTGGTAGATTCAAAGGGTGCTTGATCTCTCTTCTTGAACATGCATGCGTACATCTTACCATAGTTTCAACGCTCCATCATGAGATAAGCTCCAGATTTATTCTTGTGGTTGTAGAGACACAGCTGTGTGATTACTGCATCAGACGTGCTTCGACGACGGCAAACACAACAGGCTGCCTGCGACGACCTCTGCCAGCAAGGCTTTGAGATCTGCATGCGCAGACCTTACCCAAAGGACACAAACAAAGAAACAGTGAGAGTCCTGGGCTCCTCCATGCTCGAACACGGCAGAAGTCTCTGAGGTGCGGATAGTATGGCGTGCACATGTTTCCACGAAAGAGTACTGGCACACCAACAGGCTTCTTGAGGGGTCGACGGCGATAAGGACCTGAGCATGCAAGGCGGACATGTTTGTCTGTGTTCCGGGTATAAGCCCGCACGAAGATACCTACCTGAGAGCCTATATATTATTCGAACGTATGTATGACCTTGCAGATCAGCGAATAAGGACACCATTCTATGAAGCGCCAACGGCTAGCATGACATCTCTCCACCTCTGCCAACACCTCAGCTTCAATCTGATTCGCTCTTCTATTGCTGAGTTCCTGTTTTGCGTGCATCTTCTTGGCTCCTTATAACAAAATACAAAGAGCAGAGACATCAGAATAGTAGCAATCGCAACATACAGTCTTCACAGAGACAGAGGGAGGGCGAGCAAAAACATCTAGATCATTCCTGTCCGTACATGGCAGCGGGCGAAATAAAACACGAATATGATTCATGTCGGAGTTCTACCCACGTACGTATGTACTTGTACCGCTTGCACGTGACCGATCTTAACGACTGTTGTGACTAGCGAAGTGCAGAAACCCTTAACTTCGTTAGCCTGAATCTGGGAATAGGAGTTTATCACCATTGACTTCTCGTAAATACAATTTTGTGAGACAATCTCATATGCTTCCCTCGCAGTTTCAGTTAGGTCACGGCTGCAGATCAGTCGACAAAACAGGAACGACAGACTTGCATGCTCTTTTCATGTGCAGGGTATGCCGCGGTCGCACTGGATGCCTGCGGCTGCACCTTCTGCATTCAAACAACTCTCGTGCACCCTGGTGTCCACCTCCATGTGGCACGTGCAAGAAGACAAGTGCATTGAGGTTGGATCTGCCCGGAGTCCCGTCAGAGACTACCTCTCCGTTCCAAAGGCTGCTGAGGCTGGAACTGATCGAGCTGATTCCGGAAGTCGTCTATCGTGTCGATGTCATCGCGCAGCATATCCAGTGAAGACCTGTCAGGAAGGTAGCCATTCATTCTTGCGGCCTACGACGCGCGGAGCCCTTCCCAATCCATCCAGCATGGCAATGGGAAACTACACGCAGATATCGAAATGCGCACACTAGGTGGTGCTGCAAACTTGATCCCTGCAGTTGTCTGGCTTCGTGTTGCCTTGCTCCCTGTCTGTGGAGTCCAACGTAATATATCGACATTTCTTCCAGATTGACTTGTCGCAATACCAATTGGAATATCAAAACCGATCTCAATCAGAAAGCTGCACTTCGCCTTCAGATGTACAAAGCAGGCACAGCATGCAGATCTATGGTCGGATGTGGGCCGAGACAAAGCGTCTGTGGCCCATTGCAGCTGGGCCACGACGGCTTCAAGGCCGTTTCGCTTTACAAGTTCATATCTGTCATTCCACGTAGGGTCACTGCTGCAACCACCGGCTCCCCTGTCCCTCCTCCCCCCTGCCCTGTAGTGTGGTCACCGTCGTTTGGCCTCCGAGGTCGCATCATGCTGTGATGCTGAGACATCACGGGTGCAGATCTTATTTACTCGTGCCTGGCTTTCTTGAGCCGAAGTCGTTGTCCTGTTTTTCGGGCCTTTACACTTTGCTGCTGCAAGTTGGAAGCTGTCAGAAAACACAGTGCATCCAGGGTGCTATCCTCGTGACAGATGGTGCTTGCTTAGGTGCTTGCTTGTGACTTTGGTGGATTCTGACATGATGCTCTCAAGTGAGAATTGTTATCTGTCACCGGGTTCGAAATCGTCGCGACAGATTTCGCTCCGGTGGCCTCATATCTTCCGGGTCTGTTAAGAGTCAGTTTTCGGAGAAATTGGGCGTGTCTCGGCAAGGTCGTGTTCCTACAGTGTAAGTTCCGCTGTGGCCAAATTTCCGATGATTGTCAGAGGATACGCCTGAGCCCATACTGGAGTGGATGAAATTTAACATGGCGCGGGGGGGGGGGGGGGAAAGGCATCCATCCTTCCATCCTTCCATCCTTCCATCCTTCCATCCTTCCATCCTTCCATCCATCCATCCATCCATCCATCCATCCATGCATCCACTCTGTATGGTGCATGCATGCACGTACGTATGTAACTGTATGTGTGTAGTTGCATGTGTGTACATACGCATGCGCGTATGTATGTATCTATGCATGTATGAATGTATGCATGTAGTTATGAAGGTATGTACGTGTGTATAGGTATGTGTATGCAATTACGCATGAACGAATGAATGAACGAACGAATGAATGACTGCATCTACGAATGTAGGACCAGTGCGTATGCATGTATGCATGTATGCATGCATGCATGCATGCATGCACAAATACATAAGCAACAGACAAGCATGCATCAGATCTCCTGATCTGGAATGTTGTCGGCGATGCGGCTCTTGTTTGTTTTGTTTGCTGCATCTGTGCTTCTGATTTGAATGGGACTCAAGGCTTCTTCCTGAACTTGTCTGAGGATTGCCACCTGCTACGCCGAGCCCGGGCACACCCCATGTGATGATGCGGACCCCCAGCTGCCAGGGATGACGCGCACACACACGGACAAACCGACACACACACACACACACACACACACACACACACACACACACACACACACACACACACACACACACACACACACACACACACACACACACACACACACACACACACACACACACACACACACACACACACACACACACACCCCCACACACACACACACACACACACACACACACACACACACACCCACACACACACACACACACACACACACACACACACACACACACACACACACACACACACACACACACACACACCCGCACACACACACACACACACACACACACACACACACACACACACACACACACATGCAAACCTCCCTACCCCTTCACTTGGGCAGGAGTGAATTGCTGACTGTGAGGTCTCCAAACTCACAGGGGGTCTAGAGCAAGCAGAGGCTAACCCCACACCTCACATCCCACACTCCCGGCTATGCTTTCACACCATCTCTCAACCCGCCTAAAATTTCAACCCTTAAATCCCGCAAAACACAAAGCACCTCCCAAAAACAATACAATAATCCCGAAAACAAGGCAACTCACCACAACAAATACAAGTATCCACAACACAACCCAAAACGCAAAGCACCTAAACAATCCATAAACTTATCCGTGAAATAACCAATATCTTAATATGAGGTGTGGGGTAAGACCCTATTAGAAGAAACGACAAAGATAACAACCCTGTCTCTTGAATGAAATGACATAGAATAATATTACTGTGAAGAATAATTATCATGGGAACTCATCAAGGCGGGCGCCGTTTTGACTGCAGACTGCAAGTTGCAGAATAGAAGATCGGACTATCGTATCGTTCAAACACGGGGGCCCAAATATCAGGACTGCCATTTGGTTGGCGCAGCTGGCTTGATTCAGTGCAGAACCGCTATGTTCGGATGCTATTGAATTTTCAAGATACCTTCTTGAGGAGCCTTTCCCAGTTCAGGGTCGTAATCCTTTCGAGTTTTCTATGAGGGTCTTACCCCACAGCTCATATTCGGATATTGGTTATTTTACGGATAGGGTAAAGTGCTTTGGGTTTTGGGTGGTGTTATGGATAATTCTATAAGTGTATTGGTTGTGGTGAGTTGCTTTGTTTTCGGGATTATTGTATTGGTTTTGGGAGGTGCTTTGTGTTTTGCGGGATTTAAGGGTTGAAATCCTAGGCGGGTTGTATAGGATGTGGTGTGGGGTTAGCCTTTGCTTCTAGGCCACCCCCGCCCCCACCCGCACACGCGTGCACACACGCACATGCGTGCCCATGCGCAGTCACCTTTCCTCGCTTTAAGAGCATCTATTCAACTGTATGCGTGACATCGAGCGGCTACTGCCTGGCCCTACGCCACAGTGCTTTGTCAAACCAACGGTGGCAAACGATATGGGCCTGTCGAGGAAGAGGACCGCGCACAGTACCACTGCAATGACCTTCGATCCGAGGTTTCAGCGAAGACGCTCGAATCCCTGCACCGAAGACCTGACCATCGGGACATGCCCGAAACCGGGCAAATCCCGTTGAGAAGCCTGTGCAAGACTGGGCCAATTCCGAACAGGCCCGACAGTCTAGATGCAGCAACTCGTACCAGAGCACATTGCAAGAAACTGCAGTCGCCTTGACGATTCTGGCCATGGCAGACGCATCAGCACTGCGACCAAGTGCTAGGAGGCATGTATCTCACTGCCCTTAAACTCACTTTCGGGAGCCTCCCACATTTGGCTGGGGCCCTTGCAGATGAAAAGCTCCAGTCTCGCAGTAGCCGCGAAATGTCCCGAATACTCCGCCTCTGAAGAGCGGCGTTCAGATTGCACTGCAAGCTTTTCGTGGTTGAAGCCGAGCCGGGCTCCCGACGCAAACGGAGCCAAAAAGAGGCCGATGGCACGCCAGGGAGCCTGCAACAAGTCACCCGCACGTGATTGAATTTCAGATTGAGTGTTTGGGGATTGCTCCATTTTACAGGTGTGGGATCCGAAGTCGGCGTTCTTGTGGTGAAGTCTTGTGGTACGTAGGGATCTTTCCGTTCGGACATGCTGAAGCTTGATGCTTCCAGAAGACCAGTCGAGACCTTGACTCGGCTTTTGACTGGGCCTGACTAAAAAGCGGAAACACTTTCACTGGTTCAGTTGCAATCTCGGGTTTAGAACACACTGTTTGGCCTCCACATGCACGCTCGTCTTTCTAAAGCGCTTCGGCCTTCTTGAATGGGCCTCGGAGAACCCTGAATCCCAGTTACTGTGGATAGGTGACCGGGGGGTTGGGTTACCATGGGGCTGATAGGTTCCAAAGGTTGCGGGTGGTGACCACCTGGGCGGAGCCAAGACCTTCAAACCGCAATTGCCTTACATTGCCCCTGCGAGTCCTGCATGGATACTGCGACGGATGTCAACCAACCCAAGATCTGCACCTAAGATAGCCCCTTCGAGAGCACCATTGAAGCTCCGGATGGCGTTGCCTTGCGATACTTAGGAGTTGCAGGAGAGGGTTTCGGCTATCTTGAGCCTCTGCGATGTCCGTCGCCTTTGCAATGAGACCTGAAAGGCATGGGAACACAAAGCTGAACTGACTGCAAGGACTGCGAACCTTCAAACATCTTGAAATTGAAAGTCGGTTAACACTGTTGCCTTCTGGTCCTTGTCCCTGTCACTAATACAAAACCATAAAACCCTAGGTCCTAAGTAAGCCTACCCCGGCCTGTTTTCGGGCAGATCTTCATGAAGCTCAAGCCCCTTCCCAGCAGCAACGGTTGGCCGCTGACCTCGGAACGATGTAAAGTTTCATCATCCTCTGTAGGGCAAGACTTTCTCAAGGGGTTGAAGGAACCCTGAGGAATCCTATTCCTACACCCTACTCAGCAACCGTGGAACCACGTCAAGAAAGCTTACAAGCTCATAGAGCCCCTATCGTTGGTCGGCACAGAGGAAAACTGGCCCCGCAGAGGGTTGACAATTCGGTGCACGGTGCACATGTAGAAAGACTCACAGTATGACCGGCACTGCCCCGGTGCAGCTGGGCTTAGGGCTTCAACGTGCCACTCCACTCCCACTGTGTTGCGGGTCGTGTCCTGCTAATCAACTCCGTCGGGTTGCGATTACCAGCACTACATGGGAGGCGTCAATGCTGCAGGGGGGCATGCAGTCACTCAAGCCTGGGAGCCTCTTCTCCCGCTCTAACTCTAACGAAGCCCTACCAAGCAAGAGCTTGGCCTGTGTGGGGGATTTCTGGAGTTCTTGTTTTCTGGACTTGAAGCTTAAGTTGCCGGGTTGTAGCACTTGGGGAGTTAGGCATCTGTGAAGTCCTCGGAGATGCTGTCGACCTCCACCTTGCAGTCCAATGGAGGCCTCGGGAAGAACGATGCAAACCAGACCGATGATGCTAAAGCAGCGAACCATATGCATAGATAGAGAACTCCAGGCCCTAGGCCCTGAATCCTAAAGCAACAGCCCGAAATCCCAAACCCCAAACCCGGGGTGCAACCAACCTGCAACCGTGTGACAGGCCCAGGAGGGCACATGCCTGCGCGGTCACGAAGACCTGGAAGCTTCAAGTCAACGAAAACGCAGCCATAGGGTTCAAGGTTCTTGGCTTCGGGTCTCTTTTGCAATTCCTTTGGATCCAGCCGTGCCTTGCCTTCAGGAACTTTTTGAAGAACACTATTTGGGCTTGGGCGGTCTCTTCTTGGCCTGGATGTGTTTAGCCAGGCTTAACTAACACTTTGACTCTTTCTAAACCCAAAACGGAGCAAGAACAATCATCTTGGATTCGATTGCATAGAACTGTTGGGTTTCAAGTTCAGCTGCTTGTGGCACGAACCACAATCTCCAGCAGCCTGACTTGCAGCTGTGCCGCCGGGTGTGTCCGAATCAGTTCTCGAAATTCCTCTCGCGACTGGACCTCAAGGTGCTATTGGGACGAAGCATTACAGGAACCTTATATGCTTGGGACGAATGTTTCGAAACACCCTAAGCGAAAAAGGAGCTCATGTCGGGATTGTAAACAAGATCTGGGAGTCCTTCCAGCTGCTGAGAAGATGCCTGCGATTGTCATGTTCAGCGATGCCGGGCGGAGCCATGACAGTCGTCACACATCATCCAAACTTGAGATGCCACACGGCAGCCTCTAAACCATGCTGCAGCTAACTGAACCGACCGAACTAGCGAATACACAAGCCTCACACGACCAGCCATCACCTGAGAAGCCAACGATCGTGGAGTTGCCGAGAAGTAAATCCTCGTAAACGACGTCCTGCATGATGCACCCGTGCTGTCACAGACCGAATAATGCAATCCTGAAACTATCTACGCTCAGTGGCAGATAGCCGCTGACAATTTTACTTAACACGACGTGGGGGCTCACCTGAGTCTGACAGCTGCAACCTGCTGAAAGCGTATATGCGACACATCTCATGAAACCGGCATGCAGCAAGCATCTCATAGAAGAAAGTTCAACACACCAAGAGCCCATTGCTACATCTCAATGGGGGCCGTGTGCCCCACGTGTTCCTTCGTCCGCTTCCCCTCACTTCACACTTGGGAGAAAAGTGCTAGACCCTTCAGCATCCCCTACTTCTCCTCTGTGAAGCAATCGGCAGTGCCGTTCGCGTCGCATTTGTTAAAACCTCATCCATGCTCACAGAGTCTCAGCAATGGCAGCCCAGTTCCAGCACACGTCGCCAGGAACCAGAACGCAATACCCCTCCGGCATCTCACGCCTTCCACACTAGCCGGACACGCAAACCTATGTACGCCCGCAATTTGTACTTTGACTGCATGGGTAAGACTAAGTCCGTGTACGTGCGTGTCTGAAAGTATACATCGTACGCATTTACACACAGCATAAATACATACGTACATACATACATACGTACATACATACATACATATACACACACACATATATACATGTACGGACATACATACATGCATACATGCATGCATGCATACGTACAGACAAAACAAAACACACATGACCAACTAAAAACGTAAATGTAAGTACATATATATGTATATACACACAATGTTCAAATCACATGGTACGATCCTCCCCCTCCCTCCCATCTCCGAAAGACAAACTCAGCTACACTGTACATCGAAACCGAACATTCCAACCAGGAAAGCTTCCAGGTTTAGAACCAAAAAGAAAAGGCAAGTTGTCACAAGAAGAGCTATGAGCCAACAGGGTTCCAAAGCCGGATTGTCGCAACCCAAAACTTCCAGCATTCCAGATTCGAGGGATCCAATAATCCTTTCATTCCAGGTTTGGCAAACCTACATAATGATACCAGAGTTCCCGAACCCCAGATTTCCCGGTCTGGAAACAGAACTCCAGATTTCCAAACTTGACATAAGTTCAACTTTTCGAATCTGGGGATGCAAGAACTCTTGGTTTGCGGAATTCCGGAGTCGTGGAACCCTGGAACCTGGCAATGGTTAGAATCTTGTGAAAATCTGGAACTCCGGATGGATGTCTGGAATCCAAACTTTGGAAGTGCTTGAATTTTGCTTGGGTTGCGAGAATCTGTAACTCAGGAACGTATTCATCGGGAGGGAATCGTTCCACTAGAATCAGTGCTGGGGCAAATCCTTGGACTTGATGAAGTGCTGACAAGTCACCACCTACGCTTGTGCATATCCACGACCCTGGCTCTTTGGGCGCGCGCAGTCCGTGTACGAGCCGTATTCTAACAACTCGTATTCAAAATCCATGCCGCTACTGCCATCGTCCATGCTTGTCAGGGTAAAGACCATGTACATCAAAACTTTGCCTTGTTCGAAGTTTGATATCTAGTTGCCTTGAAGCCCCACTATCGTGGGTATCCACCGAAAGACTACGTCTGGGTTAAAAACCTCACCCATGCACACTTGAGCTCGTCTGTTGCAGTCTTCCGCCACCCCCCATTCTTGCGCATTGCAGCCTGCATCTAATTACATTTATGTATACATATACATATACACACATAGCCTCCAGGTCCCACCAGATATAGGCACTTACAAATTCGCTTTTCTTGGATATGGTACGAACTCGCGTGCATGGCAGGTCTCTAGCATGGGGGCAATAAGCCGAAAAAAACTCTTACAAGTCCTGCGCCTGACCACAGAACGTTCTAAGCCTGTGCATCTGAGCTCCAGTAGTGTGCGACCCCCGGTTGTAAATCCGGTGCTCCTACTTTTCATTACTTTTCAACGGCCGATCTTACGAAACTGCTGCACTCGGACCTTGCGACACCGAGTGTCAAAGTAAACTGAGTTTTTCATAGTTTTTCAACTACGAAAGCCGCGCACTGCAATGCTGCATTAATATGCTTTTCGAGCCTCTAGAACCTGAATTCCTCGACGAAGATAGCGCAGCTCCGAGCCCTGAGATCCAGGCTACTGTAGAGCCGCTTCACCTTGGCGGCTTCTGATTTCAACTTACTTCGTCTCGATCCCGACGATCCCCAAAAGGGTTTCGGAGATATGGCTGTCCTGGCCCTGGCTCCCGTGTTTGCTTGGCTTACGGGGAAGTTTTCATGGAGGAGAAAAGGTTCGCAAGCCCAAGTGGCCACATCTCCGAGACCGGGTCGCAGAACGACGTGCGCCGGGTGGCCTGATTGACACTCACATCAACAACAGCCCAGCATTGGCGAAGTTTTTAGGTTTCGGCGCCTTCTAAGGTGTATGAGCCTTGCCAGGTTCTGTACAGAAGAGTCCTTGCAGAATGGCCGTGGGCATTGAAGGGATTTGGGTGCATGCACGCCATGCTTCGCGTTCGCAGATCCCTGACGGTCGATAATGTCTGTCTTGCTTTGGAAGAATGACCAGGCATGACTGAGATCCCCTCAACATGTGCTCATGGCGCAACACGCTCCTGAATCCATACGCCTTCCTGAAACGACTTGCAGCGACTCTCAAACCGACTCAAACCTACAGACCCGCAAGGCAGCTAAGAGAAACGCAAAAGACCTTGAAGTCTGAACTTGTCTGTCGTGGGGCCTGTGATGGGTGCTGCGAGAGTGTTCGGTACTGCTCGTAGCCGAACGGGATTTGCCACCTCCATCACTGGCTTTACGATGCTGGGTTTGTTTGGGGATCATGAACAGTGGCGGAGCAGAATCGAACCTGTTTCGGAGTCACGCGCAATTACAAATAACCTAGACCCCAAATCCAAGCAATTCTGATAACGGTGCCCGTGCTGCATTCGATTCGCTTCTGCACCTGACTGCGACGCATGGCTATCATTGCTGCAGCAGCAGAAGCCGCAACCACTGCAAGACCTGCGTCGGATTTCGTGTGAACCGTTTTTCAGTATGGTAAAGTAGGTGAATCGTTACTCAGCTACTAAGCTGTGTTTCAACTTGCAGGGCCCAGGTGACTCCCAGGTCTCAGCGCTGCCTTGGGTCTCGCGACTGCTGGCGAGATCTGGGCTCCCTTGACCATCCCCCCATCCCCCTCGCACTTCTTTCGGAGCTTCGCTGAAAGCAAGATCCCCAGAGGAAGTTAGCAGACTAGGAGGCCAGGCTCTGTGAGTTTTCGCCGGACTCTGGGAATGCCGCAAGAACGTGAACTCATCAGCAACATGTTCCTTCGTCGTTCATGACAGCTGAAGCTCCCGTGAAAGTACTTCACACCTCCGCTTCGATGCAGAGGCTCAGCCGCCGCTGCAGCTGGAAGCCGGGCTGGAGTCACCCTGAGGTTTTGGGGAAACTCGGGATGCTTCGGGGAGGTTCTGGTATTTCCGTATGTCGATCGATGTTTCGAGTCGATGGTCTCCAGAATGCTTCTGGCGTGTTCTGAACCTTTCGCACAGTTTCCATCGCATTTCATTCGGGCGTGAGAGCATGCAGTGCCTCGCCCCTGTTACTGCTGCGAAAGTGGGCACGGCTGCCCCCGTGGCCACCGCAGCCACCAGAGCCTCAGCAGGGAAGGAGCTGTCAAACTTGTGGCAAAGAGTTGCCGACTAAAAGTTTCAGAAGGCGGCACCGTGGAGTTTGATTGAGCTTACTTGAAGTAGAGTTGCATGTTCAAGATCCGACAGAAACTTCCTGACCTACTGCAGACGTCTTGAGCCACCGCAAGCAAAAACTATGCCTAAGATCTCCCTACCTTACCCAACGAAAGCGCCAGTATTAAAGCTGCACCGCATTCCCTTTTCCTGGCGTCCCGGCACAGCTGCCTGGAGAGCGCTGCAGCCTGCAGCCTGCCACCCTGTGATGAGGCTCGATTGGGTACCGGGGCAATTGAAACTTTGGACCTGCGCTTGCCCAGCGCAACACTCTCGGTCCGAAGTATAACTTCCTGATCCATCTGAAAAAAATCAGAGCCTTGTGCATGCATCGCCGCGGTATGCACGCGACATCTAGTCGGCCGAACCACGGAGTCCGGTACAGTCAACTCCTTTGGGTATCACGAGCTCAGGGATTCAATGAGGTCATCCCATAGCTTCTCTTAGACGTTGAGACAGGATCGAAAGCGCCATGGAGAATCTACTGCCAGTAGCCGTATTGCTCGAACTAAAATCGAAGCAACACATGGGGAGCAGGCCTTTGATTGCTGTTGCATTTTGCATCGCTGAAGTTTTCTTGATGCTCCGCCTGAACTACCTCCGCGCATTCACGTCATGCTTCTGTCTTGGATGAAGTTGGGCCAAATCATTGCGGAAGGTGCAACAAGTGTGAACTTCTCGGGTCCAGCTCTGTGCGAAGCTGCTGGAGGCATGCTTGACCCCGTATGTGGCCGGTTCTTGCGACTGTCAAGTCGGAGTGTCCGAGTTGCGACTGAAGCGATCTGTGTCAGAGCGAGGTTGCTGTTTGGGATTGGCGATCCAAACAGGTGCGAACTTTTCGATTCTTTCGTGGCTCAGGCTTCGGCTTGAAGGCCTAGACTAGCGAACCTATATAACCATTTCGCAACTAATCTGAACACTTGTATCTCGATGCTGCCCAAGAGCTATTCGTTTGAATCCAAGGTTGAGGACTTTGAGGCTGGTTTACCGGAGGCTCTAGTCAGAAGCCGTCTTATGTTCAACCTCGGGGCCTTGAACCACAGCTTTGCTCTGAGTTGTAACTCTGAGACGATCTTCAGACCGACCCTGTTCACAAAGTGCCTGGTTTTTCCACAGAACCACCGAAGCCCGAGGTGGAAGCTTCCATTCTTTTTGCACCACCAGAGCAGTACAGTTGCTCTTGGCTGAAAATGGGTCTTGCTCAGCCTTGCTCTTCAAAACTCCCATTCAAGAGGAGAGAAGTAGCTCAGTCGAAGTAGGATTGCTAGCGAACCTGCGAGGGCTGGGAAGCAGATCTGTCACCGAGAAAGACGCCCAAGAGCTGACCTCCCAAAATGCTGACCCTGGCACGCAAAGGGCCTGAAACCTTTTCGAACTGTAAGACTCGACCATTACCAAGCTCGAGCACAAGACGAGAGCAGGTCAGCGGAGTGCGTTGGCTGCGTTGGGTTGTGGGGCTTGTCAGCGTCTTCGGCTGCAGGTTGCAGGGATAGCGAGCCTCAAACTTTATGGTCTGCGAGGGTTTAGGGTATACAGGGGTTTAGGGCCTGGTAAGGATCAAGCTGAACCTGAACCAGCCCAGGACTAACTTGCAACTATACCTTGAGAGTTTCTGTTGAACTCTGCATAGCGGGCTCCTGGTTGTAACACCATACGGTTCAAAACGGATCTGTATCCACATGAGGCCTGGCCTGGCAGCGCTGGACGACTTTCGGCCATTCAGGCAGTCATTTGCTCGGCCTCGGCCTCTTTAGCGCCTGGCACGTTGAAGCTTTGGCGAGACAAGATCCTAAAGAGGACGCTCTTGATACCAGCACATCTTCCAAAGAGCACATTCCGCATCTGTCTCTTCGAAACGAATCCGTGGCCTCCTGCGAACTTCACGTCTCGGGTCAAATCGTATCATTGCAGCCAGCGGGGAAGTCGGAAGGTGGGGAGGCGGCCGGTTCAAACTCTTGGACCCTGCTTCACATCAAGGTCGTGTTTTTGCAAAAGTCTACCGGCTAATGGGAAACACCCGCAGGATTGGCTCTAAAAACGGGCCCCTCCACAAGTGGCATCAACATTGAACAGTATTTCAGGAACGACCTCTAAAGTTACTTCGGTAGTAAGCTTTCACTGAGACCTACCCTTCAAACCACCAGTCATATGTACCTAGCACTATACAAAAGACGCGGAGGAGTGGCGTCTCTCTGCTGCGGCCACGGCTTTTCGGACATCAACCCTCATCTTGTCCACCGTGTTCACGTCAATCCTGCGCGAGTCATTTTGAGGCCTAGGTGGGAGTAGTATCCCCGGCTGAGGCTCCTACACTTGCATTCCTGGGGCTTAACCCGCTCGTAGGTCAATAGTATATCCTTGAGCCCAGATACCTATCTAGCAGGTTCCGCTTCTTTTTGGCCCTACTCTCGCAATCCATTACATAGGTAGCTGAACCCCAACGCCTAGCCTAAACTTAACTCTGAAGCCCTTAATAACCCTCAGCAGAATTGCTCCATTCGCTCCTCTGCTTCTTCAGCCGGTAGGCCACCTTCGCGAAGATCGGATCGCGCATCAGGCCCTTGAGCTTGCTTGCCTGCAAGGGGTGTTTGCTCCCACAGACAACTCTGCTGGCTCTTGGCGCAGTGGCATTCCAATTTCGGGTCCCGGACAGGCAGCCCGGTCCCGCTGCACTTTTGGCAAACCAGCTCGCCCACTCCGTTACACTCTGGACCTCGGCTGCTGGCTTGCCGCCGTACTCAGGTGTAATTTCTACAGGACCTGCCTTTAAGCCTTAAGCAGGCTGCAGGCTCAACCCTGAGCGGCGAAACGACCAACGCCCTCTCTCATCCAACACTTACAATGACAAAGCATTCCCGGCGCAACCTGAGTCTGAATGCGACGAGATCCGGGCAGGTGAGGTACTGGCGCTGGGAAGTTTCTGCAGGCGGAGGCTGAGGTGAGCTTGGCTCTCTCCGGTATCGACAGAGGTTCTAGTTGCAGAAGGGTGCCGGGGCTCAGGTTCGACAGGATCCCAGAGGAGTGTGAAAGACGATGGTCTGCCGGCGTTCTATGCGCAGCTTGCTTTGTTGACCCACCTGGGGCATGAAGGTAGATGGGGCCAGCAGATCAGGGAATCAAGAAAGTTCACGCCCTACAGAACTGGATGAAATGAATTCGGCTCATGGTCAGCGGTGAAGTGGTGCATCCGGCCTGGATCCGGCTTGTCACGGGAATCTCCGAAGCCCGAATCCAAGCTTCGAAGATGCTCTAGGCTAGGGTGCACAAAGATATATGTGCAAAAACCACAGATTTTCGGATCTGAGCCTGGTTCCGCCAAATTGAAAGTGTCTCTTGCACGCTTCAGAAAGTCAACACTTGCTTTCTGGGGAGTCCACTCTCATACTTCGTCCCCCACCTTGGCTCGAGGAAGAGTGCACTCACACAAGACCGCTTGGGAACAGCTCGCCAACGTGCAACATTGACCCACTCAGATCGTGACACCCTCTGTGCCTGAGGGCCTTCAGGTATATTCCTTCTTAGGAGCAGGTCTAACTTTGCCAAGCCTTTGAGCTGAGCGCCCCGCAGGCGGTACTGGCCGGTGCCTTCGCACATCGGACCTCGAAGCGAAGCGAGTGAAAGTGAGCCGCAAGCCAGGCCCAGAGAGGGACCGCTGCCTAAGTTTGGAGCCTTGGCGTCAACGAAACACTGAGAAGCCAGGTGCCGCACATTCGACCAGCCCTCTTCCCTCCTGGAGTACGGATGTAGCTCAAGCACAGGCCAAGTTGCTCATTTCTTTGGACGCCTGTTGCAGCTTAAGACTCCAATGCATGGAGATGTTTGAAGTGCCGTCGTTCTCTTGTCTGGAGCACGCGGCAGCTGCAGACACGGACAACTGTGCAGCTTCTTGATGGTGTTCTTTGAATGTTTCGGACTTTGTAGGGATTCATGATTAGGGCTCTGGGTTGCTGCATTGAGAGTTTTCAGAGGTTTGCTGGTTCAGCATCCAGAGCCTCGAGATCGATTCTCATCTCACAGAAAAGCTTCCACGCAGCTCAGGCCGGCACACATTCATGGCAGTTTTCATCTGATTCAGCTGAGGCAGCAAGTGGTGTGGCCTCAAACGCTAGCAACGGCAACGGATTCGCTGCGAAAAGCGGAGGTTTGGGCCACTGCAGGCTACCAGCATGAGGCTGCCTGAAACTCTATGAACTTCCCTCTGCCTGCTCTCTGCCTGTGGAAGACAAGACTGCGAGGAATCACAATCACAGACCATGCCGGAAAACCGATGCTCGACAAGTTTGGAGGTGGCCTTGCACGCAGGTGTTTATGGTCGCCTGTAGATGCGATGATTTCTTCCGGATCTGCCGCTTCGTGCCTCTGGTTTTCTGCAGCCGGCTTGGCCGGGAACCGCAAGAATATTCATGTGCCCCGTTTCATGCATTGCTTCCGCATTGCAACCTGGAGCAACAGGTACATGTCCAACGCAATAAAGCTCAGGCTTAAAAGTATAGGGCGATGCCTGACCCAATCTTGAAAAGAAAATAAGGAAGGGAGTCCAGTGGTGGACACTGGACGCCGGCAGTTTCTGTTGCACTTGCAGAGTCTTGCAGATCTCATGCCAACATATCTATGGCCACTTACTGCGTCCGAGATTTGACTCGCATTCACGGAGGGTCCAGTCTGGCGCCCCGGAGCAGGGACAAGCACTTCCACAACAGCTGGAGCAGCTCTCCGTAAGTGTCTGAGGCACCTTATGCCTGAACCCAAGCAATGTGGTATTTCGCACCTGTCCACCTGCGCGACAGGATCCTCAGCTCGTACATCCCCTGCATCTGCATGCGCTCGAGAACATGCCTCATACCGCGAGGACTGCACAGCATCCAAGCTGAAAGACAAGAGGATGTATTCGCTTTTCTTCTTGAATTGGAAGCTGAGAACATATTGTTGTAGGAGGCAAGCAGCAGTCGCATATTCACCACGAGGGTTTTGAGACGTTTAGAAATCTTCATTTGGCTTGACCCGATGTTTTCCACTGCTGCATTCTTAACGCCTAGGCAAGGCTCTCTAAATTGAATCGCTGCATTCGCCGGTTGCCTCGAAAAGTCCAAGAAAGCAGGCCGTGCTTGAACTCTGTGCCCCATCCATGTGCTCTCCATTCCGGCCATTAGCCGTGGATATCTGGTCAGTTCTTTCCTCTCATTGATCATTCTTGTAGCTAGCCCCGTTCGATTTCGGACATCATGATTATCACTTCGCTGCTTCGTGGTGCAGCAATTCATGCGCGCTTCTACATCTACTACACTGCACCTGCGTGGCCACCATTGGAATGTGTTGGCTCTGGCTGCATGCAATTCTGCTCATAATGCTTTGAGTGTCAGCAGAACACTTGTGCCCGATGCGTTGCGCATGTGTGCAGAGGAGACACACATCCAAGCAAGTATGCAGCTGGGTTGCAAAGATAGCGAGACACACACACACACAGACAGCTGAAATCCACGCTTTGGTTGTAGAGCCGTTTCGTGGGAGACAAGCGAATGTTTAAGCATTACCAGTTGTGCAAAAAGGCAACAAGTGCAGACTGCAAACGACGAAGCCTGGTGCAGCCTCAGACATGTGCAGATAACGGAACGTCTTGTCGTGTCCACCAAACTCCGCAGGAAGCGAATGTCCAAGGACATTTTGACGACGACTTGCAGGGAACTTGGGAACCTCACTGGGGCACATGCCCCAGAGGGCCCCATCCTCCGGCCCTGGAGATGATGTCCATGTAAAGCCATACTGTCTTATGGTGCCATACATGTGGAAAATCGGATCTACTGGACCGTGGGTATGGACGGTCAAGCAGACACACAACAACACATATAAGTACATATACGCATACTGGCGTGCTTCAGGCTTACCGTGAGCTTAGTGTGCTGGCCATACAGACAGATCCCGATGCATCTGTCTGTTTCAGATGTCGATTCGGCTTCTACTCCCTAGCTCAGGGCCGGCGAGTCTGCACAGCCTGCGCCACGAGGGCTTCAATCACAAGCTGTAAGTACACCCGGGGGTTTGCAAGGACCTCGAAATGAGCACCATGACACTTAAAGACCCTACAGGAAATTGAGATAAAAGGTGGTCGATTTTGTCGTCCGGGCGATGCTCCGATCTGTGGAGACGGGTACCATGATGTCGGGAGCTAGAAACAGATAGTACAAGACAGGAGCGGAGCTAACCATGTTAGCCTGAATAACAGACTTGGGTTTGAAGGGCTACCATGAGGAGCCGTTGAAAACATCGCTGGTGATCAGGTCCCTGCGCTACGATGTCATGTGCCCATGAGACGCTTTTCGAGGCCGGTGTCTTACCCGCAGTGAACTCGGGCTCCGAAGCCCAGCTTGAGAAACCCGGGTTTGCTCAGGGCCTTTTGCCCGAGGCTTGCTCGGGACGGCCAAAAGTGGGGTCTCGGTGTCAACGACAGCAGGGGCATATGTAGAAATGCGCAACTGTCGAAACTTCCAGGATCAGCAAGAACACCAGCACTGTCGCCTGAGCCTGGGCTTCGGTAAGCATTGGACTATTTGGCTTTTGGCATTCGCAACTTTTTTTAATCCGGGACTCTAGCTAGGGTATTTCGTGTTCGACTGTGAGGGATGCTGCTGGTGACTTGAGAAGGCCGCTACTCGGCTACTCGTTTCATTGCACGGAGAGAGGGCGATGCCCAAGACCTCGATCTTGACCACAAGGATGCTGAGGGATTGTATGATCAGGGTCTTCTTCCACTGAAGAGCTTTACTGACCGCTAGCCCTGAATCAGCACAGCTTTCTCCGCAAGAGTCGCTCACGTCTTGCCTGATCGCCTCGTTAGCCCCTGCATGACTTAGACTTAGTATCCGAGGCTGCGTGGACTGCGGAACCAGGTTGAAACTCCCCTCATCCCTTCTTAAACTACAGGTGTCCTTTTCCGATTCGTCAACTCTAACCCTAAACTAGACTGGGCTCGAGGCTCCATCTTCCATACGGCGACGCCCTGAGCCTTCCGTAAAGTATCCTTTTAGCCCGCCTGTGCACCTTCTTAAGAAGCCACCCCTGAAAAAGGCAAGATTCTGCTGGACCGTCGGCATTTGGATGAATCACCTGGTCCATCAACCCTCCTGGACGTGGAATCTGCACTCTTAGGCTGGCTCGTCACAGTAGCGTTCGTCTGAGCCGATAACCCAAGGACAGCACGAGGCAGGATAGCCGCAGCATTCATCACGGGGGAGGGGCGGGCGGGGTTGCAGATTTGTCTTTGGATATCTTGCGCAACCTGAATGTCGCTAGAAGTCTAAAGCTTCAGAACGTGAGGCCTGCAGTGAACCCTGACACATGAGCTCCTGCAATCATCAGGATCGACCTCGCAGGACAGCCGCTTCAGAGAGACTTTTCCTACGTCGACAGGCGATCCGCCAAGTCGACTTTGGATGCCGAGGGGCAATGACACTGCGGTCAACATCATAAGGCGAACCAACTCCCGCAGTGGAGACGTCGGGGTGTAGCAGATGAAATAGCCAACCTCAACAGATTGAATAAGTCCTGCACTTTTGGGGGTGCTTTGGTACATTCGCCTTACGAGAACTGAAGATCAATCCTCGAAGGTACCTGCGAGCCTTGATAGCCTTTGGTAGCACGAAAATTACTCTCGGCAGTCCTTTCGACAAGAATGTCGCGACGTCGTCGTGGCAGCACTACATGCCGTAGCAGCTCGCCCTCAAGATGATGTTGGGAACAAATCTGAACAGCACGTCGTGCAGAGAAGGCGAAGCCAACATAGAAGCCTGAATAGTTAGACTAAAGTATTGAGGTTACTAAACATGCGGGAACCTTCGGGATGAGTCCGCAAAACAGAGGCTTCACTCCTGCGAGGTTTCCCTAAGGATCCAAGTGCCGAGCAATGTCTTAAATCGACGTACCCAATTATCGGGTCCTTGGGCCCTTATGGGGTTTGCCCGCTTTCTGCTGAGCATCGATGGCCAAGCTCACCGGCAGGGCCAGGCTTTCGACCACCACCTGAGTCGTTCGGCCGGGCTGGGCTGGGTGAGGATCGATGCGTGGTTAGCGAGCCAGTGCAGTGTCAGTCACTGTAGAACGTGCGTGGTGACATCGACCCCGCAATAGGAAGACTATCCAACCCGTTGTGCCAGTGGAAGCGGAAAAAGGCTTTAGATGTGGCTCAGTGTGCCTCCAAAGCAGTCGCCAGGGACAGCATCATTTCGGCCTCCTTCGACACCAGAGCGCTTCAGTATCAGTACGCTTGTCGTGTTCATGCTCCTGACTTTTGGCTTATAGTCGAATGGCTTACACATTCAAAACGTTGTGTGGTCGCCCAGCACAACACAACCACGCGTTTCGCCCACTTGGGGCTGCTCAGGCTTGTGCCTCGAGAGGCTTACAAAAAGTCGCGCACAAAGCTAAGTAGCATGAATCATATGCATTATGCAACACTTCAGGCAGGTCGTAGTGCACAGCTTTTTCGAACAACAAAACAACTTGCGGCAGAGTGTGTACTTAGGATTGGGGCCCAAGGGCTCTTGCGTTTTCGACTTCATGGGATCGACGGTTACGGATGTATATAGGGATTGAGTTATGAGGGTGTTTTATGCATGTTCAATGCGCTCTCAGGTCTCCTGCAACGTCGGCATGGCAGAGCAAAGACTGTCCAGAATCCTGGAAAAGGCAACGAGGTAGAGAATGACCGCGTACCTTCGGAGAAGCCCAGAAGCCGGAAAGTCGACAACTAGGTTGCATGAAGCCAGAGTCTGCCAGAGCAATCCTCTCCGGCCTCAACGCTAGACTCATTGCATGTGCCTTGAGTGCTGTACAAATTGAGTCCAAGCAAGACGTTACTTGCTGTCCTCGCAGGGAGTGCGAATTCTTCAAGCGAGCCCAAACTTAGTCGCTCCAGAATGGATCTCCTGTGCAGAGAAGCCCAATTTAAGGGCCACGGGCGGCTCTGCGGCTCCGGCACTGTAACACGATTCTTCTGTGCGCAGGAAGCCCATGGGTTGGTGGAGCTTTCTGCCTAAAATCCTAATCCTAAGCCTCGGTGCTCGCAAAGGATTGCGACTAAACCCCGAAGAAGCCTTCAAGGACA